GGACCATACACAATGAGATTTCCCCATTTTTGCTGACTGGTGTTTTGGAGTCTCCTCTGTAGCCTTCAGCACTCTCTCACCGGGGCCCTGTCTTGTGCCATTTGTTTCAGTTAGCGAGTAATGTGTGTGGTTGTCAAAAACAATTGGCTTGGGTGGTGTGAGGCACGCACTCCAAAGCGCGACCGACAGTAAATTGTATTTTTCCACAGAGTTATTAGGCCATTATTATGGCGCTAGAAGTGAACAATGCCTCCTCATCATCAAAGGCAGACAATTAGAATCATCATTAATCGCTGCTATCGGCACATCAATGGGGCAAGGGGTTATAATGGAGTTATAGACCACTTATGGGGTAATCAATCAATGGGATTGCTAACTAAACTCTCTTTCATTGTGCCAAGGACTGAGTGGCCAGTCAGTGACTCAAATGAGAGCTATTGGATAGGAGTATGTGAGAGGAATGTTTACGGCATGTTATTTGTAGTAATGTTCAGTTGTGTCCAATCTCTTATCTTAAAGTCATTTTCCTCTGTGGCTCTGCAGAGCTGCATCCAAGCAATCATAGTCAGCTCTACCCTGCAGCCCCAAGGGGCTACAATAATGGCTGAATACATAAAGGCCAGATTAGAGTAAATTGATGCTGTTATTGCTGTTCCACACCAGCACCAGTGGAACATTTAGCAGCTAAACAGGCAGACAGTTTTCTCAGGAGACGGTGAAGACCCAATAAGAGCTCAAAGACAAACGATGATTGGACCGTGATGAATAGAAATGTTGCTCTTTTGCCTGATGAATGCTGAAATATTTACCATTACTGTTTGAAAGATGTTGCGTCAGTGCGACCAAAACATGTTTTTGATGCCAGTGGTGCTGAAAAGGCCACCCGCACTAATCCAACACTTCATTGGTTACTTCTTGCTGAGACTGGCTTTGAAAACTTCCATAAAGCTTGGTGGCATTCGGTGAGGTACATTTGGGTACAGTGAACTCATGTTCAAGAAACCAGTTTGAGATGATGTTTGATTTGTGACGTGACGTATTAACCTGCTGCAAACATCCTTTATCTGATTTCGGTGAGCTTGTATGAACTGCACCCTCCGTTTCAGCTAACAGGGATGGTGTTCTGCTGCTGTAGCTCGTCTGCTTCAAGGCTTAAAATGTTGTTTCTGCAAAGATGCTCTTCTGCTCACCTTCATCGTGGTTATTTGAGTTACTGAAGTCAAAATCCCAGATTAAACCTGAAGTTATCCAGCCAAGTCCTGCTTTATACTTTAGGCCTCTGGAAGAATCCTGTGTGAAGCCAAATGTCAGAAATGACTATTTTTTTTGCAGTTTGTGAAGCACATTGACCCACTGATTAAATACACGGTGTTTATTTTAGGAGTGGGTCCTAAAACTGAGAGGGGAGTGGATTGCCCGTTTTGTACTTGTGATGTTTTATGTAGTTGGTTTTGTGCTGTTTGGTTTTATTTGCCTTTCACAGATCTGTGACTACTGCAGCTTTAATGCAGCTTTAACTACGCAGATGCCCTGTAATCTCTTCAGATGAAACGGCAGCCCACAGGGGACAAAAACACAGCATCATGACACTTATTTGCCTTATAAAAGCTATCCAAATAAACAATGTTGTCAGTGCGAACCGGGCTTTCAGCAAACCCCAGAGAAACAGTCTTGTTAGCAGTACGCAACCCTAAGGTCAGCGTGCTGCCCTCGGCTATAATCCTTTCTTATTCTCTGTCTCCTCTCAGATGACCCAAGAACAGTGCACTCATAGGAACAATGTCCAGAGTTCAGAGAAACCACAAGTGTACAAAGTGGGAATATACGGCTGGAGGAAACGCTGCCTTTACTTCTTCGTCCTGCTGCTGATGATCCTGATCCTGATCAACTTGGCACTAACTATCTGGATCCTCAAAGTCATGAACTTCACCATAGTAAGT